AAAGATGAGATTAAAAGCGACAAACAGTGTAGTATTTTTGAGTGTCGTCTATTAAGGTGTCTGAAAATTAATATTTGTCTAACTGAACTGTGGTTATTTTTTGGGTCAATGTTTTGTCGTAAGGTAACATGAGATTACCGTGTGTGTACATGCATACAAATTCAGGTTTATTTATTTGTGTGTGTCTTACTTTAGCTGTTTACATACATGAGTCAATAAATATGTTCAAAAATAACATACAAAATCAATTAAATAGAAAACCCTAAAATGTAACGATGTACTCGAGTAATATGTGGAATAACACGTGTGTTAGCTTTTGTTTAGAGAAAAGAGTGTACGTGAATTTCCTTCAACTTACATCTATAAACATATACATTTAGAAGTATTGTGTAGATAAATCAGCGAATATTTAAGACTCATAACCGACAATTACTCAAATAAAAAATCTCAAAAATTTAATAGTGAAATAAAATCAATTGAAAACCACTAGTCGATGATTTTTACACATCAAATGTTAACTGTTTAATTATTTTGTACATGCAAAAATTAGAAACCACATTAAATTAGGGCTGACCAGTTAAATGGTTCAAGTATGTCTATTAATATTTTAGCACACCTTATCAAATTATAATTCTGTTTCAAACTGTAACCTAAGAAGTTGATATTAATCTCGTATTCCGTCTTAAACTTTACAAGATCAATCAAAGTTCTTGATTTTCGAAATCAATGGAACCACAGTCGAAGTGAACAGATGTTTAGAAACATTCCTCTTAGGAGACTTTAATTAAAGCGAATACAGTCGTTCACCCCTGCACACTTTGTATCACCGTTGTCGGTATGGAATAACCTTAACCGCAAATAGCTTTCCATAACAATAATTTTTAAAACATTTCTAGTCAATTCATCACTTATTTTTCATTTACATCCATTGCTTACTTGTTAGTAGACCAAATTTAGGCCACAATACCTTGCAGTATCTTATTTCACTACGTTGAGGTTTCTAAAGTTTGTAGTTGTCTTCAGTTAAATCAACCACTTCGGTTTCTTAAAAAGTCTGGAGTTCTCTAGATCGACATAGATTATTCTTTACAAACTGTCTCTTATGCATTGTAATCTTTAAAAAATTATGGTATTTCTCATTATTTATTACATTTAAGATATGAATGGTAAAAAATAAAAAGCTAATTGAAGATCGGAAAAAAAGCTGAAATGTTGGCATCCTGAATGCAAATGTCAACGTGTTAAACTCAAAAATCGTATGAACTTAGAACATGTAAATCTTGTAATTGTAGTTATGGTATATTTTGTTGTCAAGGTACCGTGCTTTTTACATTGTTCTTTTCCCGAATGGAGGTTGAATAGAATCTTAAAACGCTTTTTGATGTCATAGTTCAGTAACCATTAAGAGTTCAACTCATTCGTAGGTATATTGGTTAGCTGTTTTCGAGATTCCTGTTTCATTTTATCTGCTGTGAACTAACTGTTTATTGTCTGCAAAATAGTAAGAATGACATAGAATGTTAAAAAGGCAATGAATAAGTTACTCAAACGATTACTGGACTTTCTTTGTTTACAACTACTGAAGAGGTATTTTCTTTCATAAAATTTATTTCAGATAAAGACGGATGAAACATCTATTTCAGTGACAAGAAACAGGTTAAAACGATTGCAGAATCGGAACTTGATACTTTGATTTCGACTGAAGATCGAGCAGATTTATTTCATACATTGAGAGGTACGAATATTCATGTATGCCAGAACCTAATAAGTCAGCAAGTTTTTATTAATAAGTTATCCACTTGTCAATTAAAGAAGCACATTTAGGATTGAGAAATCAGCTTTGCCTTCACTTTGTTTATTCGCCAAATTTTGAATAGTAGGGTTGGAAAATGTTAGGATAGTCGGAAAAAGAGACCAATAATTATCATGTTAATTTCAATGGTGTCCTTGGACTTTAAATGTACATTTCTTATTGGTCGATGTTTATTTCACTTGTTAAGTATTGTACAAATGTTGTTTCCTATTTTATGGTACGATGTGGTTTGTTTGCTTGGTATATAAATAGAGTATGTTTGAAATACAATGATTCATAACTCAGAGGCTGTGACTTGTGTTCTTCACTCAACTGGGCTAGGACGGACAGCGAAGCAGGGCCAATCAGGCACTAGGTCGTCCGTACGTGTTTTCCGTGTCACTGTCACAGATCGCGATAAATAAATACGCTGCGTATCTAAACCCTGCAGTCACACTCACACACACCCGTTACAACAGAAAAGTGAGAAGAAAAAAACCATCTGAATAATCTGTTACAATTTTCAGTGCTTTTGTTCGAATAAATCACAAAATAGCCTTATCAACTTAGTGTTCTTGAATTTCACTATATTTCCAACTGAGGACTTAAATAAAAAAAGATATTGGTTTGTTACGTTCCTACTAGAAATTAGACAGTCATTGATGTACACCACATTTTGCTTTCCTATGATAGAAACTTCGGGAACAGTTATTGTTCATGTTATACTACCTATCCCCTAAACTCTAAGCCAGTAAAGCAATTAGGCAATGATAAGGTAGGTAAATAATTAATCATTTCTCTTTGAAAGAGTACCTATCTGTATTATTATAATGCTGCATTACGTATTAAGCCTATTCTGTGCAACGGATAGTCAGTTAATAATATTTCCAGAGACTCGGGGATGGATCCCCTCATAAAAACTAAGGTTTGTTGAGCTCTTTATATCATCTTCACAGGATGCACTCCAATAAAGTGTACAACAAGTGCAATACTGTGCACGAGTCACTTATACAAAGTTTTCAGTAATCAGTGTAAAAGCTGAGAAATCCGGTGATTAGAATGACCTCCGGAAATAGGAACAACAGACACATCAAGTATTTTCCACCAGCTGTATTAGTTCATCTGAATCACATACTTCAAGAAATCTCACCCAAAGACGACCTTTGAAGCTAATGGCATAAAATTTAGGATGTCAGGGAAATCCACTACAATAAACCTCAAAAGCAATGTAGCCGTCCTAAATAAATCGTTACTCACTGTGTGGTATGTGGATACGTACCCACAAATGAACCGAAGTTTCAGTAATGTCCCCAAGGATCAAAAATACAGAATATGGATGATCTATACCCTTTTCTTCTCGGTTGTTGAGCAGTCATTGACTGATTACGCCGTTTGGAAATCTTCAGTAAACTGGACTTCATATTAATCATGGATAAAGCCATTGGTAAGTCCGTTTTGAAACTAGGTTTATGTAGTGAACGTGAAGGTTATCATAACATCCATCAGCTACAGGTTGCGTATTAAGCATTTATTATTAGCTTCTTTGATCTATGTCACTCAAGTTTAAATAATGTTGTTGAGGCTTTTGGACAACTTTGTCAGGTTACCTCTTTCTTAAACACATCACCTGGAATCGATTTTAATATCTTCCAACTGGATTATGATGAGTATCGCTAATCAGTCAGTCTTGTCACTTTGGAACATAGGATAAGATAGGACAAGAAACGTTTATCAAATAATGCCTAAGTTACATATTGAGGACTTTTGAGTGTATTTGGATTGAATTGGTTCGTGATATAGAGTATATATCAGGTCAGCGTCAATTTAATTATTGGGATGCTTTAAATGATAATCCAAAAATCTTTCATTTAGGTGATTTGATAAGTGATCAGTATCTTATCTTCTACAATACCGCAATTCGTTATAATCAACCAACTAAACCTAGAATGAAAGCGCAGCTTATTCATTCATAATTTTGAGTTGTTTTCTCATTTATTGACTGCTAAGAATTTGCTTATTGAATTGATTAGTTTCTAAAAATGTTAATAGTCTGAAAAATCTGTTTACATGTGCCGTAAAAATACCGAAAGAGTAGAATCAAATTTTTTACATATTTTTTGGTAGGTTTCAAGTTTTTTAATTTTGACATGAATTCTCGAAAAATGGTTGAAAAAAAACCATTTAAATTAACATTTTAATTTTAACTTAGTGAATGATTCCGCTGACGACTAAATCATGAGAATGATTTTAAACAGGTATATCTCATTTTGTTAAAACAAAGTATGAAGACATTTTTATATACAGAGGAGTTATATATATACCGAAACGCTGGAAAAGATTTATAGCTCAGGTACACTTTTATGTTGGTGTGTTCTCTGAGCTAGACGGTTTAGTTACAAAGCTTTCGTTATCGTTCTAAACAAAGCCATCACCGCTTACTTCATGTAGAAATAAGTTCATCAACTGTTACACTAGCGTCGAATTAATTTCTTCTGATGGCCTTATTTGTAACAGGGTATCTTCCGAGGCTTCAGTGTTTTTCACTCATTATACAAAGCGTTAAAAGCAGTCCTTTTTATTTAGTAAAAATGTCTACTACAGGAATTTCATTAAAATATGTCTAGTATTTCTACATACCAAATTACCTAAGAAAATAAAAAAACTAATCGTCCTACCATATGTGGAAAGCATCTCAGAAATCATCATAGGAATTTCAAAACCCTTGAAAATCAATATTGCTCACAAACCAACATAATTCCTTGATTCCATCTTATCCAGACATATTTATTGTACGTTTTTGGATTACCTATCTTTCACACATCTTATTCTTTGCATACAAATGTGAGTATAACCAAGTTTATTAGTCATGATGAATAAAAAAACAAATTTTAGAACTATTAAATACTTTAGATTATAGGTAACATTTAGTTTAATTTATTCTATATTATAGAAATCATGTTCATAAAAATCAGTCTATAGTATTGCTACGAGAACATCTCTTCATGCAAAAGGTACGTAGTTGAAATAAATATAATCAATAAGTATTGCTAATATGACGCTAATGATCTATCCTGAACTCTTTAATATCTCCTTACTATATGAGTCCAAATAAGATGGAATCTGAAATTGATTAAGCATTTAACGATAAAGATAATTTACACTAAATACTGTAAAGTTGACGAGTATAGCATAAAGTTTATTGTCTTACATGACTTCACATTAGCTGATACTGGCTCTGGTTCAATGTCATGTGGATTGTGTTCATATAGATGTAGATCAATAGTGATATTTTTGTCTCCATAACTGTTTGTTTGAATCAACTTATGACTGTAGAAGTTCTGTTCTCCAACACTTTCAAATAATTCAGTCCAGTGGATACTGTCCGGCAAATACTGAAGTCCAGGATTATCGTATATATAAACGCTACCACGAACTATAGCTGTATAAAACAAGAACAATAAGGTGGAAATACTTTACACATTCTGGTAAATATAATAACATTTTGGAATGGATAAAGTTTTATCCTATTTTGCTTTTGCATATAATTTTTATAGATTTTTCAAATTCAAATAATTCCTAATTTTTTACTTTCTATTCATATTTATAACTACATAATGTTCATTTGATGTGGTCTAGTGTTGTCACAAACAAAAGTGTAGCACAGCATCTCTTAATAATTTTTTCTTCGTTAAAACCCATTCCATAAATCAATTAGCGGTAGGTTCCCATTCGTTAATAACACGTAGTGGATAACATTTTTCTTAGATTGTATGACCTTGTGTATTTAGTAGTCGAAACACATTTTGACATTTTAAGTAGTTTATTGATAATCTATTTCATCTCAGTAAATAATTTCTTTTTTTCTTGGTATTGTTTAAAATTTGGGATCCAGTAGAATTCAATGGTAATAATTACATAGGTTTAATTTTAACATTCTTTTGAGCTTACTTAAGAGAATCTTTGTCAGATCAATACGTCATGTTGAAAGAAACAAACGTGTGCTCGTTGAAAAACAAAATTTATATGCAGGTATGTCTAAAAGCTCATACAAGTACATTTAATATGCCATTATAAGATTCTTAGAATTCTTTATTACCAACGAGAAGAAAATATATCATGAATAAACCTCTAGTCAAAGTACAAAATAAATGATAAGTATAAAAATGCTATATAAGTAAGATTTTATAACAAATACGGGAAATAGCACTATCAGACTGTTTATTCTCATCTTCCCCTTAAAATCTAAAAGCTTTGATGGTCTATCTCACAATTTGTTCCTCCAGCTTCAACACTGGATCTGTAAATCTACACTCATACAGAGATGCAATAGAAAAGCTGAAATATGGTATCTGACCTAAGTAAGGTCATATAGTGATGTATGGCAATTCCATTGGCCCCAAAATGCCCTGGTACGGCCCAGAGTGGGAAGAGTCCATTCTCCCTCTCGAAATCCTCCCACATAATCACGCGTATATAGCCTCTCCCAGGGAAGTCCTACTCACTGCTTTCTCGTGGCATTTCTGTTGTTTACGAAATTGAGAGGGCGAAAAGCGAATGTCCGGCGCTCTAACTGGGTTGGTGGACATGGAGAGTCCACCTAGGGAAGTTGGAAAACCCTGATTCCAAACCAATAGTGCACATGGGCTCCAGTATCCTGAGGGAACAAATGGCATATGAACCAATTGTTGGTCACTGGTTTCCATAAGACTGCATCTCCTTACGATGCTCCACTACCTTGTGGATCAGACCTTCAGGTCGAAGGCTCCGGGTGTGGCCCTCTAAGAAGACCACCTGCTTTAGTTTGGGCACTCGGGCAGTATCACAGCCCTCACAAATATCAAATGAGATTTGTGTGGTGCATATGTATTTGGTGCCTCCTTTTACCAGTATCTATGTGTTAAAATAAATAATAAAAGTGGCAAAATGTGACGGCAATCATGAAACAACAAAAGCTTTAGACACTATGAATAGAAACAGGTTCAAATATATATGGTAATGACCTATGAGAATTTCTAAATCAAATAACTTTAAGTTATCAGAACTGTATCACAACCGCTTTAAATAAAACTGCCAACCATTAATTTCGACTGCCTCAAATCCTTTAATTAAGAAGTGTTTATCATCCTACAATTCTCCCATCACTATTCCCTGACTTCACAGATCAATACAACTTTTTAATTTGGCCACTTTATACTCTATTTAGCTCATTTGTGTCCCAATTGCCATGAAAAGTTAAAATAGCTGCTAACTGGATATGTGCAACACATGTTTTAGCTTCTCTGTTGAATGAGGTTCATCAATCTGATGACGTGACTTACCGACTTTACTAGTTGTGTAATTCTCAAGTCAACAGTTAGCAGTTGGTGACTAACCTTCAAGCGAATAGTTCATGTGCATATTTAGACTTAATTCCATATTTTACCACGCAATGTTTCATGTGTGTACGCTGATTCATCTAATTTTACTTAGTCATCACAATCGTTATAATCTCCATCAATTTGGTTAAGTCTGAGTGTATAATTAACTATATAGTGTGAAATTGATTAGGCACAAAATATATTTGGCTCAGGAGTTATTCCTCTTCAGAATACATTAAATGAAATACTTATAGTGATCTCAGTTTCATCTAATAATATTAACATATTTATCATTTTTTTTAACGAGTTTATGTCATACAAATGTAAGGCATTTCAGTTGTCTGTCGTCATAGTTTTATTGATGCATAAAGAACACGTTTTTATGTTTCTTTACAAATCGTACCTAATAAAATATTTCTTCTTTGTGAAATTCTCTTTGTCAGATTGAATTATGTTTCCAATGACAATGACAGTCAGTAAATTAACTGTATACTTATCATTGAAATTTGATGAGCAGTCAACATTCACTCTACTAAACTATAAGTTGTAAACTAGTTATTTAGACAAAACTAATTTTTTCAAACAGGTTTTTGATGCTTTATTACAAAGTTAGTTACTTCTTTCTCATTTTCAGTCTATTAGAAAGGTTATTCGTCCAACTCAAGAAAAAGTGGGCATAGAAGAAGCTCCAACTTTAGTTTTTAAAAAATCACATTGGTTGAGTGCGATCCAATAAGAAACTAGATGAAAATGTCACATCATTATGCCCGTTATTACGACGTTTCTTAACATACACCTAAGGTTCCATATGAAAGTAAATTTGCATCGGGTTCTTGAGATGAGTAAACGCGTAATGGTGCGTTCCGAAATGCATTACCTCACTTTCTTCGGAACACCAATGAACACTGAAAATAGCTTTATGGATATTTTTAATAGAGAATAACAAAGTTACACTTCACGATAGTTACTGCCAGTTTAATAATAGACTGTGTAAGACTTAAAATTGAAATTCTAGAGTGATTGTTTCACAGCGTAATGAAAACAGGAGGAAACAACGCACAAATTTTATGCGAAGCATAAAGATGACCAGAAAAAATCCACCATTAAGCATTCATCTCCTACTGACTTGCCGTTATATTCAAACATCGATTATTATGTTTTAAGATACATAATAAAAATTTTCAAGTTCCAAGTCATTTTAAATACAGCAAAGTGTTTGTTGATTATATGGATAGTTACTCAGTCTATACGTCAATGGTTGTCTTGGTAGACTTGGCATACTTACTTAGATAATACATTGTTTCCTATTTTGTGAAAGAGGCTATATCTAAGGTGTGCATCACAAGTTAAAGCGTACTGAAACCCATAATTTTAGCCAGAAATTCCTCCAGCCTGCCCAATTCACAGTTCAGCTACTATCTACTGTGGATATTTTACAGATGCTTGATGCACATGGTCTCAATCTTATCAGACTGATTTTTATCACTAGATTTTGTGACAAGTTCTTCAACTCACTGATTTATTTCCGACATTCAATTTCATGGTGTTTTATTAGGCGATAGTTTTATATTTCAAATAATGCGCTGACTGAACTTCATTTTATATCAACCCCGTACTCTTAAGCTTTTGCATCAGTACCCTAGAGATATAATCTACATAGTTTACTAGTAAGTATGACGATTTCATTTTCCTTTTTAACAAGTGTTTTGTGGTACTAGTCCTTTAGGCATTTTTTAAAATTATCTCAGTAATAAACAACATAATGCTGATTCTGTTAGAATTCTTGGAATGAAATTTAAGTTGTAAACTTTACTGATACTGTGATACTTGTACTTTATTGTTTGCCAGACTACGTAACATGTTTCCGTGTAGTGATTAATCTTTGTTTTTCAAATTGTCTAGGTTTAAAATATAGTGTTTTTCTACTCAATAACTCTAAACACAAATATTTTCTTAACATTTAGTTTGACGCCGAATAAGAACTGTTCACCAACAGTTGATACAATAGCACTAATTATTTGGTACAAAATTCACTCTAAATACTCTAAAACTATTAATGGTACACACGAATTAGGCTTTGAATGGTAGCGCAACATGGGCTGGGAGGAATGAACTGCACTTTTTAACATTTCATAATTTTTAAATACCTGTTTCGTTTATTATTCATGGTGTATAGCAAATTTGATCTAGGGTATCTGAGGTATTGTTTGCTGCATAATACTGGTCGGTTTCTAAAGAAATGCTTTAAAATGCTGTTTTATAATTTCAAGAGCTTATGTGTTGCCTAAATACATCGATCAATATGAATGGTTTCCGATTACTGCTTATACTCTTACTACTTCTACCACTACGGGATTTGAATAGACAACTGCATCTCTGTGCTAATGTGGTATGGTAACTGGAACTGATGTACGTACGTACGAAGTTCTACGTTGTTGATGATGGACCGACTGACTGATAGTTTCAGAATATGTGAAAGCCATCTGATTTCACAAACTAGTTTTCACGTAAGATCGAAACCATGCCCGGAATTCATGTTTGGATTTCACTTCAAGAATTACTTTGGTAAGCATGTACGGCAAGAAAAATCTATTTGGATCATAGATTTCAATGTACAACGACCGCACCACTGGGTCTATACTGTGGTAAGCAGTAATTAATTGCGGAAGCAGAATTATCTCTTGAGCACAAGGTCCGTTTTAGTGCTGACTGTTTACATAAATGACATGAAATAAAGTTCATTAACTTCTGAAATCGGTATTTTACGAGGTAATATTTTGGATGAATAACGAGATGCAATATCAGATGACTCTAAAGTAAAAACGATATATTGGACCATAATTTAGAGTACATTTACACCAACATCCGTTTAGAAAATCGATATAGTTGTCAAATATATAAAAATTCAACATGTACAGTTGATATATGTATGGTAGTGACAATTTCGCACGATGCTTCTGATGTAAACCATTGTTCGAAAGCTGTATAAAATACGGACAAAGTACGGAGAACTAGTTGTGGAGTATACATTTGAAGAACTGTAAGAGATCTTTAGCTTGATGGTTTCATCAAACTTTCACTTTATTCTTTTCACAGTTAAGGTTAAAGTCAATTATTACACCAAAATTGCATGAGTAAAATTGATGTGTTTGTTAATACATCTATTTTCTGATAATGATGAAGAAACTATAACCTAGTGTCCTAAAACCCGTCATATATATATATATATATATATATATATATATATATATATATATATATATATATATATATATATATGAAACTGATTTGAATGTTCTGATTTATTAGGAATGCATGCTGTGAAATATTTATTAAAACTTAAAATTGTATTATTGAAAAGTAGTAAATTTAGCATATTAGCACTTATATTTAGTAGAATACAGATTGTATGTTTCATGAAGTTAATACACACCAGAAATAACTCAAAACGGGGTAACAAACCAGTTTTGAAGTGAAGAACAAAAGCATGTTTATTTATGCAGCCTAGGTGCATTTCCACTCCCGGTAGGTTAGCCACCACATTAAAACTCGAACATAGTACTAAAAGACTTCTTGTTCAACAGATATCAGTTGTTTACTTAGGCTTAAACTTTTTTTTGTTGACTTGGTAGAGTTAACTGATTATTATCCATTGTTAATTTTCAAAATAAAAAACAAGGAATTTGAGGCATATGTAATGCAAGGAACATATGTCTGAGGACAAGACAATAATTTCGGTTGCACTAATCAACAATAGTAAAGTGTGATTTCTCGTGAAAACTATGACTTAAACTTTTCTACAGTTTAGGACTTTTGCTACACTAATATTTTTAAACGTAATATAGAGCTTCCATTGCTAAAGGTTCATGATGATTTTCCATCATATATATACCTGTACAGTCATCTTCGTGTCAAGGAGACAATGGTTAATGACTAACATTACTGAGGTTGATGTTAATTTAGTCATCTTTAGGTTCATGATTATGATAACACTTCATAAATGTTTACTTCATTTCAAAATCTTTGACATATTCAAATATTTGGGTACATGTATACCTTATATACTGCTCAACTGTTGATATCCATTCCATGTTGATGCCTGTACAATATCACATCAACAAAGCAATTAAATGAATAGAACCAACATAGTAACAAAGTGCTTTGTTTGACATGAAATATCAGGTCAAATACCATTGGCATTTATGTTTCTAAAGACAGAAATATTTGTCTAAAGACTTTAAGAGCACTTAAGTGCTCAAATGCTAGGTTTAAATTTAACTTCTTAATGTGGATTTGTACAGTTACCTAAAACACAATTTTAAGATTTTGTTGCTGTTTTAAGAACATTCCTTCATACATTTTGCAGTTGAATTTGTGCTAGTCAGACATTCCATTGTAAAATTTAATCCTCATCATAATCTTTATGCTTTATATATCCACTTGAAATGTTTTTCACTTGACTTGAACATGAGAAACAGTACAGATGAGTCAGTGACCTTCTCACAGTTTGTTTTTTTAAATACCTGTAGATAAGGCTAAACCTATAAAGTGTGTGTATGACTATTTAAAATATCAAAAGAACACGTTTCTACATGTCAGATTATTGTTTGTAAATATCATTTAATTTACGATCACTGGAAAGAAATATTTATTTTACATTAAATACGCAGTTGGCATTCATGTTTATATATATATATATATATATATATATATATATATATATATATATATATATATATATATATATATATATATATATATATATATATATCCATAAACTTACGAAGTCAATTATCTACACAGTTTGCTTACATGTGTCATGAAAATGATAAGTCATAAAATTCTAACTAGTTTAGTTACGTACTAACTCAGTTACCATGACTAAATGATTGTTCTCCAAATTAGTTGATTAAAAAAACTTTTCCATGATAATTTAGCTCATATTTTGGCACGAAAAGCTCGTCTTAGATATAACTGATATTACTCACTTGTTTATAGAGTTTGAAAATCATCTTTAACAGAATGAATGTCTTACTTAGATGATACTACTATCTATTGGTCTATGCTCCTCCACGAGGAGTAACAGACGTAAGTAAGTAAGTACTATTTTTAAGTTACTTCTTGAAGGTAAATTTATTCACACAACTAATCAACTAACATGAAGGGTCCCATTTCAAACTAATGCCTGGTAAACAGTTCAAAAAACAAAATAAATGCCTGGAAGGAAGTCAGTATAATACGCCATATCAGGATCTCTCTAGGTAGAAATGGGCATTTTCAACCATTCGTCAATCAGATTATCTAAATTAAACTGATGTATATTTAGTTTCCTAAACTTCGATTTAATGATAAGTTACGATATATAGGTCGTTGATGAATATATTATTGAACAGTTATCTAACAATAAACACAAACATATCCATTGCAGCTGTTTAAACCTAAATGACGTGATAACACGCGAGAGCGTTAACTTATGACATAAATGAGGATTTTTGAGATTTTTATCAAAAATCAAAATTTCCCTATATTTTGGGAGGATTCAAACAAAAGCTGTTCTAACATTTCGCAATTCCATTCTACTGAGAAGTTCCAAAATATACTGGAACAAATATATAATGGAATTAAACCTGCAACAATTATTAGACTGATATAATTTTATGGTGAAATTTCATAAATTAGCCGCAAAATATTTTGGATATAAGAAACCTTTTGAACTAGCAAAATACAAAAACCCTATTTAACAAAACTGAAAATAACAATTACTAACTAGATTTCTTTGAGTATAACTATGGAATTTTTAAGCCAAGTTATCAATTCACAGTTACCCACTGAAACAATGAAAGACAGTCACGCAATATTGAGCATTGATTACAATTAGACATTGCCATCGTTGGATGTCAGCTCAGTGGTTAAGCGGTAGCGCGTGAGACAGAAGGTTCAGGGTCCAAGTCCAGCTGGTCTGGTGACGGGTGTGCATTGCCAAGGAGTTCCATAATAGGACGAAACGATGTCCACTGCTTTAAGGTTTTCATAGGTGGTCTAACATTGATTGTTTCATGATTTCAATGAAAAAATAACAGTAGAATAATTTTTCCAACAATCACGCCTGATCGTTAGACAGAGATTAATTAGTAGTTTGGCACTAGCCTACAATCCATCTGGTGAAGCATATTTTAAGTTAGTTAAGGAAAATTACCTTGGTTTTCGGAAATTATAAATACTAAAAACACTACACTTAAGTAATACTCTCTGAGTCTTGGTCCAAAATAACACTTTTAAACTTATAGAAAGCATTCATTCATTCATGTTTACTTTCCAACCACCACATTCCAGTGATTATAAAACTTACCACTAGTAATTCTTGAAATCAACAACCCATTTCAAAATTCTAACGAGAAAATTACTTACATTTTAAGTTATGTAAATCAACGTGTTTCAGAGTTTCTCCATCTTTATAATTCTTTCGGATTATTAGAGCTGCAAAATCTAATTCATCGCGTATTTTATAGCCTCCATTATTTGCTCGTATAACTCGTAAATTAGACAACGGTATATTATTTACATTTGAATGCATTATAATCAAGTAACCAGATATTTCTTGAATTGATTTCAAAAAACTCAAGTCCGGATCAGATCCATCAGCTGATGTAAAAGAGCAAAAAATGGAAAGCATCTTAGTAGTTATTGCTTTTTGATTTCCTAACAACACCAGTTCATATCTAAACAATATTTCATCAAACAATATAAAACTGTAAATACATAAACATCATATAAATGTTACATGGATTGTATTGGGATAGATAGTAGAGTTCATTAGTTCCGTTGCGATAAACAGACTAAAGAAAATCTAGACCACCCTGGAAAACCTGGACTCATGGATTCAGTCATTAAATTACCACAATTTTCACAAATTCTCATTCTGACAATGAAGAAAATCTACCAAACCAAGTTCGGTTTCAGCCCCCAAATGCCCTGGTACGGCCCAGAGTGGGAAGAGTCCATTCTCCCTCTCGAAATCCTCCCACATGGTCACGCGTATATAGCCTCTCCCAGGGAAGTCCTACTCACTGCTTTCTCGTGGCATTTCTGTTGTTTACGAAATTGAGAGGGCGAAAGCGAATGTCCGGCGCTCTAACTGGGTTGGTGGACATGGAGAGTCCACCTAGGGAAGTTGGAAAACCCTGATTCCAAACCAATAGTGCACATGGGCTCCAGTATCCTGAGGGAACAAATGGCATATGAACTAATTGTTGGTCACTGGTTTCCATAAGACTGCATCTCCTTACGATGCTCCACTACCTTGTGGATCAGACCTTCAGGTCGAAGGCTCCGGGTGTGGCCCTCTAAGAAGACCACTTGCTTTGGTTTGGGCACCCGGGCACTATAACAGCCCACACACAAATATGAAGAAATGTCGATATTTATGGAAAATACTTGTCTTGCCGCAATTAACAATCACACGATTCACATTATTATTATAATTATAATTATAATAATTATTATTAGTAGTAGTATTAGTATTAGTATTTTACGTCACTTATTCACTCTCTTTCATTCCCAATTTATGTATCTTTATTTTTCGACCTATACAGCAGCTCGCCTTTGGTGGAAATTCGGTTGTATCTAAACGTTCTAAAATCACTGTCAGTTTGGAAATTATATGCTACCACCAAGTACGAGTACCGAAGCAGTTTTTCTGAAACCACGTGCACCATTCAAACTGGCTGCCTTCAACGTCCGCACACTTATGCAGGTCGGACAACAGATAGGGCTGGCCATGTCTTTGGAAAGTCTTAATATCGACGTTTGTTGTCTATCCGAGACCCGTATTCAACACTCTAGTGAAGTACTACAAATTAGCTCTCCATCTGTCGCTTCAAAAATCTTGTTTTGCGTGTATGTATCCGTGCAACCTGTGGCATCTTCGTCTGGTCTTGCTGGCGTTGGTGCCACACTAAGCGCTAGAGCCAAGGCAACACTAATCGATTGGATCTCCATTGACAGTCAGTTATGTGTTGTTAGATTAGAAAGTCGGAGTGAGAAACAATGTCATTCACTAACATCCATTGATGTCTTGGACGATAGGTAGAGTTCTTCGAAAAGCAGTTCAACTGGTCCGCTGCTCCGACAACGTCGATCAGACTGTCCTGCCCTCCGTAGCCAGTGACGACTGATCCAACAAATGACGCGGAAGTCCGCAAGGAATTCCAACTCTTGAAGCGCTACAAATCACCGGGCCTAGATGACTTACCTCCGGCTCTTTTTAAAGATGGTGGTGACTTTCTGGCGACGTGACTTTCTGACGACGTTGTTTACAGAGGTCTGGAAGCTAGAGAGTGTTTCAACATCATGGAACAAGTTGATAGTTGTCCCTATCTTTGAAAACGGTTCACGTTGTTTCTCTAAAAACTATCAGGGGCTGAGTCTAATTCCGATTGCGTCCAAGCTATTGGCTTCCGTCATACTTCGTAGGTTGTTTAAAAGCCGAGAAAGATTGACTCGCGAGGAGTAGGCTGGTTTTCGTTCTGGTCAAGGATGTATTGATCATATCTTCACCCTCCACCAAATATTAGAACACCGTCATACTTATCAAAGCCCAACATTTGTAGTGTTTCTCGACATCAGGGCTGCCTTCGATTCGTTGGACAGGACTGTTCTCTGGGATTGTCTATTGAAAAAGGGTGTGCCTGAGAAGTTTATCAACACTGATTAAAATCATGAGTCACTTGAAGCTAGACCACCATTGGAAAACCTGGAAGCACTGAACGGCCGTTTATTAACATCCTAAAGGCCCTATATACAAACAACTCAGGCAGAGTGAGGGCATACAACCACCTCTCTCCATTGTTCTATTCGAGCAGTGGGGTTACACGGGGCTGCCCAATCTCACCATTCCTCTACAACTTTGCCATCTACGACATTCTGGAAACAGCTCTGATGTATGTAAGTAATGGAGGTGTGGATCTGTTGCCTGGAGAAAGACTTCTCGACCTTGAGTATGCAGATGATATTGTCTTCTGTGCGATAATGCCCAAGCCATGCAATCCGCACTTAATCAGTTGGCAATCAGTGTCCGTATGTATGGTATGTGCTTTGCACCTTCTAAGTGAAAAGTACTTTTACAAGACTGTCAGGATCCTGGTCCTGTACTCACCCTGGATGGTGAGCAGATAGAAATAGTCGAGAAGTTCGTGTATCTAGGTAGCTGCATAAGTGCTGGTGGTGGCGTGAGTGATGAGATCAATGCACGTACAGTGAAAACCAGAGCAGTTTATGCCAATCTGGGCCATCTTTGGCGCCTTCGTGATGTTAGTCTGACTGTAAAAGGTCGGATATACAATAGCGTCGGTGAGTGCAGTTCTGCTCTATGCTTGTGAAACCTGGCCCCTCGGAGTTGAGAGTGTTATACGACTCTCTGTGTTTGATCGTCGTTGCCTCTGAAGGATTGCTGACATCCAGTGGCAACACCATGTCAGTAATGCAGAGGTTCGGCATCGTGTGTTCGGGCACAGAGATGATTATGCAATTGGTGTCACCATTTTGAAACATCGACTTCGGTGGCTTGCATATGTTCTACGAATGTCGTCCCAGAGAACTCCACGTCGCGCATCATTTGCCGACGCTGGGACTGGTTGGAAAAAGCGGAGAGGTGGTCAGTGTATAACATGGTGTCGTGGTATGAAAGAAAGCTCCAAAGGGCTGGCTTCTGTTGGTCCTCCATGACTCCCTGGCTGGGGTCCGAGAGATGGTGCAGCACAGTGACTAGAGACGTTATCAGATATGGCTCAGAATAGAAGCCAGTGGCGATCCTGCTGCAACCTTCCTTTACTTTTTTCATAAAAAAATGGTTGTTTCTTTCTTAACTGAAAGATTTTCTCTGATTGTACCTTTCCGTTTCCCCCATCATTACTATTATTATTTTTTTATTACTTTTACACTACCTTACACTAATCTGTTCATTATTGTTCTTCTTCTCTCTCTTCGAATTCTGATTGTTTTGTGTGGCGCATATATATTTGGTGCCCTCTTGTACCAATATTTATGTGTTCAAATAAATAAATACAATGGGACTCCTTGGCAGTGTGAATCTGCGACCAGGCACGCGGGAACTGGCCCCAGGACTTTAGGTCTCTTGCACTAACGCTTAACCTATGAACCAATTGGACGGCATCCAACGATGTTAATATCTAACTTCAATCAATTCATGACTCTTAAAAATAATAAATAAAGTGCGGAAATGAAATCGCTTAATATTCAACTCTTCTTAGTAAGATCTCACACCAGTTCACCAGTCTAGAACACAAACCGCTTCGCATAGTCAAAAACTGTGATTTGTAGCATCATCCAACAGAATTGAATGCAGTGACAATGACAATTAGATGACAACCTAACCTAACGGTTATAAAGTGTATTTGTCAAGTATGAAAATGGAGGCTTACGAACTTTATCTTAATAAAGGTTCTAAATACCTACAGTTGTAGGAATTCAGAGCTGTTCTACGATGCTTGCATTTAAATGGTCGCTTAAATGAAGTTAATTTGTGGCGAAATCAATAACTTTTGTTCTATCACTTGTCAAAATATATCAAAACTTACTTGACCATTCCATAAAAATTTTAATTGATGTTATAAAACCTGGCATACTATCACCGCTTTTATTCACATGAATCACGTGTAGATTTTAAATTGAGTATGTTATCTATTGCTTTCAGCATATTGAGTATTGATTGATGTTATTCTAGTAAAATTATTTATAGATTTATATGCACACATCTCGGTTTCTTTGTGTGCCTGCATTCATTCATGTGAGAGCATTAGATGGTAGGTAGGTAGTTAGGTAAGTACTTAAAAGCAAACTCATTCTTATACTTTAATTAGTCACAATAATCAATAAAAACGAAGTCCAGATTTTGTACTTAAGTGAAACAAAATTTATGATTTATTAGGATCAGTGAGTTTAAGAGCGATCCAAAATATTTGAGCACATAAAATCCTATGAATAATGATCTCATATTAAAATATTTTGCCATTTTCTAGTATTAAGCAGGTCATTAGTAAATTAAAATTATTACTGACAGTAACATCTGAAAACAAACTTAATTAGACTCCATTCTTTTAAATAGTTATTTCATAAATATGTAATAAGTAGTATATTGTTTTAAATAGCGAGTTAGTATATGAATGACTGCACAACTTAAAATCAATCAGCTAGCATGTTAGTGAGCTGGAGTTTATTAATAGAGCTTCTTGTTTAAATAAAATAAAAAAGTTTATACAGTTTACTTTCTTTTAGAGTAAAATGTGAAAGCAAACTTATATGATAAAAAACTGGCTTTATAACAAGGGTTGAATATGCTTTTTTTATAAACTAACTAGAACATTGTAAATTTCGGAGCACATTTTGGGAAAAAGCTAAAAAGAACCCGCCAATTAGATGACACCGGTAAAATAAACAAAGTGAAAACATCAAGAGAGAAGAAAATAAGTGAAACTATGTTGAAAGGGTGTTTTATACCTTAATCCAAGATTCACCTTAATCGCCCGTTTACATTTCGAGGATATATTCACTAGGATGATAAAACCACACCTTTAATATTTTGGGAATATCATCCAAAAGTGCTGTACTTTGATGTGAATCGCATC